TAGAGTTGATATTAGCATTATACTGAAGTATTTTCTCCTGCCTCCTGAGAGCCAGGAATTCCGCTGGAAAATTTATTTGATATATGAAGAAAATTGAGTTGAGTTGGGTCACGGAACGAATTAAACTCATAGGTCAAGGTACCACTGTTGGAGTATGAGCAGGGTAATATTTTGTGAAGGGATTCAGGGAAACCAGTTAGCTGGACTTGAGTCCTGGAAATGGGAAGTACAATGCCTGCACTTTAAAGGAGGTGTTTGGGATATTGGCAGTTTGGAGGGGCTTCTGAACTGTCACTTCTGAGTGCCTCTGCAAAGACAGTGGTTATGTGTGAGTGAGGTGAAAGTGTTGAATCATGATGAAAGTATTTTCTTTTTGGGAATTTTCTTTCTTTTTGGGTCACCCTGCGTCGGTGGGAGATGACCGGCATGTTGAAAAAAAAAATATATATACATGTATATGTATATACCCGCACACACGCACACACGCATGCACACGCACATGCACACATCCCACACACACACACCACACACACACACACCACACACACACACACACACACACACACACACACACACACACACACACACACACACACACACACACACAGTAACTTCTGTAGCTCATAAGAAATAAAAAAAAAATAATTTCAGTTCTTTTTATTTATAAAAAAGGCAAATACTGTAGCAAACAGCAGGTGTATAATCTCTTATTAATTTTATCTACATGCTTTTTATTAGTTTTGGTAAGTTCTGAATACGTGGAACAATTTTAAAGCTTTGATTATTTTCAAATGTACTGTAAGAGATAAGATAAGATAAGATTTCGTTCGGATTTTTAACCCCGGAGGGTTAGCCACCCAGGATAACCCAAGAAAGTCAGTGCGTCATCGAGGACTGTCTAACTTATTTCCATTGGGGTCCTTAATCTTGTCCCCCAGGATGCGACCCACACCAGTCGACTAACACCCAGGTACCTATTTGCTGCTAGGTGAACAGGACAATAGGTGTAAGGAAACGTGTCGGAATTTCCACCCGCCGGGAATCGAACCCGGCCCCTCCGTGTGTGAAGCGGGAGCTTTAGCCACCAGACCACCGGGTATTCATTTTATACTAAAAATTTTGAAACTTAAAGGGTCAGGTACCCAGAAAAGTTTCAGATTTTCCAGTATTTCATACACTAAAATTTTCTAATAATTTTTTGTGGGTTTTAAAATAATGTGCATGAAAACTGAGCTATTCCCTTTGGAAAAATTTTTATGATTTTATTTCAAGAAAATTCTGATTTATATTTACATTCATCTAAGATATTGTATGTATAAAACCATTCAAATTGTCACTACCTTATTAATCTTAAGTTAGTCTTAAGTTTGCACGAAATTCTCTGCATATTAAGGGGCTTTCTGCATGCACACACAATTGTCATTCACCTTTGTACAAACATAGTATCTTGCTGAAATAAAGTATCTGTACCATAAGGTATAAAAACTATGAGTATGTTCACAGATGATGCAAAACTATAAGGTAAAATAAATAATAAAAATGACTGTATATCTTTCTAGGGTGACTTGGATAAGCTGAATACATGGTGTGATTGATGGATGATGGAATTTAATACAGACAAATGCTATGTGGTGAATGTATTCAGATATTTCGGAGTGGACATGTCAGCAGATGGGTCTATGAAAGATGAGGTGAATCATACAATTGATGAGGAAAAAAAAAGATGTATGGTGCACTGAGGAGTCTGTGGAGAAAAAAACACTATTCATGGAAGCAAAGAGGGGAATGTATGAGAGTATAGTTATACCAATGCTCTAATATGGGTGTGAAGCATGGGTGGTGAATGTTGCAACACGGAGAAGGCTGGAGGCAGTGAAGATGTCATGTCTGAGGGCAATGTGTGGTGTGAATATAATGCAGAGAATATGTGGTTTGGAAATTAGGAAGAGGTGCAAGATTACCAAAACTATTATCCAAAGGGTTGAGGAGGGATTTTTGAGGTGGTTTGGACATGTAGAGAGGATGGAACAAAATAGAATGACTTTGAGAGTGTATAAATTTGTAGTGGAGGGAAGGCAGGATAGGGGTTGGCCTAGGAAAGGCTGGAGGGAGGGGGGGTCAAGGAGGTTTTTGTGTGCAAGGGGCTTGGATTTCCAGCAAGCATGCATGAGCATGTTAGATAGGAGCAAATGGAGGCAAGTGGTTATTAGGACTTGACATGCTGTTAGAGTGTGAGCAAAGTAACATTTATGAAGGGCTTCAGGAAAATTGGCAGGTTTTACTTGAGTCCTGGAGATGGGAAGTACAGTGGCTGCACTCTGAGGGAGGGGTGTTAATGTTGCAGCTTTATAACTGTAGTGTGAACACACCTCTGGCAAGACAGTGATGGAGTGAATGATTAAAGTTTTTCTTTCTTGAGCCACCCTGCCTTGGTGGAAAATGGCTGTGTTAATAAAAAAAAAAAATGCTATGTAGCAGAAATGGGAGAGAGTGTATTCAGGACATATGAAGAATACAGTGTGTGTATGATAAAATACTGAAAGTGTCAGACAGAGAAGGGAACCTAGGAGTTATTAACCAAAAAATTGCTATCGGAAGATGATTTTAATGAAATTGTGAAAAACTTGCATGGTATTCTAGCAAATTATAAAATAGTTTTTAAGTATATGATGGAGAAATGCTAAAAAAAAAAAAAGGTGTTTAAACACTTTTTGTTTTTTTAACAAGTCAGCCGTCTCCCACCGAGGCAGGGTGACCCAAAAAGAAAGAAAATCCCCAAAATTGGAATATGCAGTGGTAGTATGCTCACACCTTAAAAACACATGAATAGTTAGAAAATGTCCAAAGAAGAGAATTAAAATACAGTGGACCCTCGACTTACGATATTAATCTGTTCCAGAGAGCTCATCGTGAGACAAAATTATCGTTAGTTGAATTAATTTTCCCCTTAAGAAATAATGGAAATCCAATTAATCCATTCCAGACACCCAAAAGTATGAAAAAAAAAATTTTTACCACATGAAATATACATTTTCCTACACAGAAAAAGAAGGATACATGCACAATATATTGTACTAAATGAAGAATAAATGACACTTACCTTTATTGAAGATGTAGTGATGAGACACTGTTTTTCTTGAACACTCTGGGATTTTCACAGTGATACATGAGTAAAGGCTTCATTTTGCAATCCCCACTAGCATTACAAGAAAACATGAGAGTTAGCCTGTCTTTCAAAGGCTTGTGTCCTGGGTGTGCCTTTTGCTCCTGAGTAATGTAGGTCCTGGTTGGCATTTTCTTCCAGAATAGGCCTGTTTTGTCACAATTAAACACTTGTTGGGGTTGGAATTTTTCAGCTTCACCATGCCTTATCACACTGTGTATGCCACTACGATTCTTAAATCTCTCAAACCAACCTTTGCTGGCCTTAAATTTGCCAATATGAGCACTAGTTCCAGGCATTTTTCCCTGTTCACCTGGGTGTTAGTCGACTAGTGTGGGTCATATCCTGGGGAATAAGATTAAGGACCCCAATGGAAATAAGTTAGACAGTCTGCGATGATGCACTGACTTTCTTGGGTTATCCTAGGAGGCTAACCCTCTGGGGTTAATTGTTTCTCGGTAATTGTTTCTTGTTAAGCCATACCAACAATAGTCTCTCCTCATCTTCGAGTAGTACAGCTGACAGTGGTGCAGCAGCAGCTGATGGTGCAGCAACAGTCAACAGTGGTGCAGCAGCAGCTGACCATGGTACAGCAGCAGCTGACTGTGGTACAGCAGCAGCTGACTGTAGTACAGCAGCAGAAGCAGAAGCAGACCGTGGTGCAGCAGCAGCTGACAGTGGTACGATAGCATTTTGATAGTATTTCTCGCCCTTTTTACCACAGGGTTGGCACTAGAAGCTTTCTTTGGGCCCATGGTGGCTTATTTAGCAGTTACAAGCACTAAAAACAATGGAATAATACAAAATTTATCGAATGTATGCATGCAGTCGTCCACCCTAGCTTGTAAACAATGGCACTAGCTGAGTTGAGGCGCTCTGGCCAGACGGACCGCGATTCGGGACGAATGATGTAAGTCGAGTTTTTCTTCGTAGGTTGGGGAAATTTTTTTTATGCTGAAACACTTCGTAAGTTGATTTTATTTTTAGATGAGGCCTTCGTAAGTTGAGGGTCCACTGTTTATGAATCATGAAATATGATGAAAAGCTGAAAACACTCAAGATGCCCTTTTATTCCCTTACATGTTAGCCACATATAGGATCAAAAATAATATGAAAGTTTAGATAAAGAGGATTTTTTTTTCACCTGTAATAAGGATAAGAAGTCACAGTTGTAAATTGAGAAAAAATGGAGCCAAAGGGATATTAGGACATTTTTTTCACAGAGTGATAAATCAATGGAAGAAATTACAAGATATAATAAGTGCTTCAATCATTGGAAAGTTTTAAATATTATGTGAGCAAATTATTGAACACCATAAGCACAGTGCTGCTCCTGTAGCTTCAAACAAGTGTTTACACACACAGTATTACATACTGTATACATATTTAACACAATTCTGTTATGTGCAGTTTATGCAAGGCAAAGGAAGGCTTGGCAGTGCCAAAGGACAGAAGATGGGGTGAAAGGAAGGAAAAGAAGAGGGAAAACAAAGGAGAGAAATTATTTAAAAATTATTTTGTAATGTGTTGCAAGCTATATACTACTGGATTAGAAGATTGCCCTAATGTTATTTCATCATATCTAGTTATAATTAATATCTGTATTCTTTCATTCTGATTGCATATCTAAACTTCCATTATCCTACACTAACAGCAATAATATACTGTATACAGTACAACTTAATTTCCTTGACTACATAAATCACAATCACACAATGTAAATTTCCTTATTAAATTTGAGTAGTCCATTCCAGCCAGTCAACTTTAATGAACATTAATAAAAATGGTCCAGGAGAATATGTACATTCAAAATATATCAAATTTACTATGCTCTTACTAAGTAAAGAGGACTTCCTATAAAACCTCCAACCACGCCCACACCAGCTCCTGCAGCAATGCACCCCATGGTGGAAACACTTCCATCTGCACGAGTTATGATCTCTGAGTCGAGGATTTTTTGATAGAGCCCAAACCTTATCCCATTCATTACAACCTGGTATCCTAAAGCTGGAACAAGTCCTTTCTGTAGTCCCAGTATTCCATCATTCTGCAAATTTGAAGTGAACTTTCAGCAAAAAACTACAATAAAAAATTCACATGTATTTTTATTAGTTTCCAGAACAAAACATTTTCATGATATGCATTAGCTAAATTTTAAACATGTGTGCATACTTAATTATTATTTACTCAGTAATTTTATACAATCATAACTCTCAAGAGGTGCTCTGATGTCAGTAAGGGGCTTGGGATTCAAGGGGTTGTAATAAGATAAAATAAGATTTGTTTAGATTTTTAACCCAGAGGGTTAGCCACTCAGAATAACTCAAGAAATTCAGTGTATCATCAAGGACTGTCTGTCTTATTTCCTATGGGGTCCTTCAATCTTGTCCTCCAGGATGCGACCCACATCAAACAACAAACAAAACAAAAGTTTATTTCTTTGCAAAGATTACAGTATGTGTTTACATTTCATAATTTCATTGGTACAAAAAAAGCCACTATCATGCCGAGGCATTTCGGGCAGCTGACTAACACTCAGGTACCTACTTACTGCTAGGTGAACAGGGACAGTAGGTATAAGGAAACACTCCCCAGCATTTCTGCACGTGTCGGGGACTGAGCCACAGACACTCAGTGTGTGAGGCTACTGTATTGTCAACTAAGCCACGGGGTCAGCTCTTGCTCCCATAGATGTAATAATAATAATATACGTACTACTGTACAATCATATATAATATGTACAGTATAAGGAACACTTAAAATGTGCTTAGAGTAAGTACAGTGGAACCCCGGTTATCGGCTGCAATCCGTTCCTGAAGGTCGGCTGATAACCAAAATGGCCGATAACCGAATTAATATTTCTTATAAGAATTAATGAAATAAAATTAATTCGTTCCCAACAAAAATATTCACAATTTTTTTTTTTTTTTTTTTACAATTATGTAAGCATTACATACGTTTATTGAAGGCTAATGCTGGCTTCTGGAAGACGGAGGAGAAAAGGAGGAGGAGTTAGTTAGGAGTGGTGTTAGGAGGCAAGAACTTCACTTTTATAAAACTGAAGTCCCTAAACACTTGGTCTTTCAAGTCTGGAGGATGTGCAGGAACATTGTCCAGTAACAGGAGGCACTTGAAAGGCAATTTCTTTTCCAGGAGGTATTTTTTCACACTTGGGCCAAACACATCATTAACCAACTCTTTGAAAATTTGCCTTGTGACCCATGCTTTATGATTAGCTTTCCACATCACACACAATCTATTCCTCATGACATTGTTTTTCTTAAACACACTCAGATTTTCTGAGTGATACACAAGTAAAGGCTTCACTTTGAAATCCCCACTAGCATTACCACACAACAAAAGAGTAAGCCTGTCTTTCATAGGCTTGTGTCCTGGCAGTGCCTTTTCCTCCTGGGTAATGTAGGTCCTCTTTGGCATTTTCTTCCAAAACAGGCCTGTTTCATCACAACTGAAAACTTGTTGGGGTTCGAATCCTTCAGCATTTACATAATCCTGGAATTCGTGAACATACTGTTCAGCTGCACATTTGTCAGAACTTGCAGCCCCACCATGCCTTACAACACTGTATGCTACTACGCTTCTTAAATCTATCAAACCATCCTTTGCTGGTCCTAAATTCACAAACTGCAGCACTTGTTCCAGGCATTTTCTTTGCAAGATCCTCATGCAACTGCTTTGCCTTCTCACAAATAGTTAACTCCACTACACTGTCTCCCACTAATTCTTTTTCCTTAATCCACAATAATAATAACTTTTCCATCTCTTCCATTATCAGTGTCCTTTGTTTAGTTAGAAAAGCTACTCCTTTTGCAACATTAGCATCTTTGATTTGTTCTTTCTTTGCCAGGATGTATGTAATTGTTGATTTATTCTTGCTGTACATCCTGGCAAGTTCCATCACCTTCATACCCTTCTCAAACTTTTTGATCACTTCACACTTAAATTCCATGGTGTTTCTCACTTTCTTTACCACATGAACTTTACTAGGAACTTTCTTTGGAGCTATGGTTACTTATTTCACAGTTGCAGTGCAAGAAAAACCACTAAAAACAATGGTAAACAAGTGAAATGTTTGGATGTATGAGCAGAAGCCTCCTCAGCCACTGAGGGACAAAGCCAAACTGAAGCGCAAGCTGCTCCAGCTGGCGGATGGACGCATCCAAAACCACCGATAACCAGGCGCCGAAAAACCCGCCGATAACTGAGTTGGCCGATAACCAAACCGGCTGATAACCGGGGATCCACTGTATTTCTCAAAAACTAAATATAGCTTAGTTCATTTTAAAACATCATTTAAAACTAAAATTATTATTTTTATTATTTTCATTATTAAAATGTATTTAGGGGAAGCACTAAGCCCAAATGGATCATTCAACACCTGGGGGAGTGGAAAGTAATACATATAATAATGTATAATATCTTTATTTCTACAAGTACATGTACAGCTTTGATCCAAGGAAGGGAAGGACAGGTCCAATTCCTTGCATCAAGAGCCACAAACTGGCATCAGTGAACCCCCTTTGGAGAAAAAATTATAACATGGAAAAAGATTTACAACCCTGAAATAAACATGTGTCTGAAATTAATAGACTGCAGGATATTTACCTTAGCAACAGCAATGCCAGCATGAATAATGTTTTTATAAATAAGTGTATAGTGTCCTCGAGCTTTTAGTTCTCCTTGTAGCTGCATGCGAGTCTTCAAGACATCCATTGGATTGGAAAAAAAACAGGCACCACAAGCTGCTACAGCACCAATAGCAAACTCCATGATGCTGAAAAATACAAACATTATAGTATAAATACGTATGTACCATTCTCAGGATATGGACATTAAGCTATATTACAAGTATGTAAGATGAGATTTTGTTTGGATTTTTAACCCTAAAGGGGTAGCCACCCAGGATAACCCAAGAAAGGTAGTGCATCAATGAGGGACTGTATTTCCATTGGAGTTCTTCAATCTTGTCCCTAGGATGTGACTCAGACCAGTCTACTAACACCTAGGTACCTATTTACTTGCTAGGTGAACGGGGACAGTAGGTGTAAGGAAACACGCCCAATGTTTTCATCCTTGCCTGGGATCAAACCATGGACACACTGTGTGTGAGGCAAGAGCATTGCCTACCAGGCCACAGGCCACTCTCTCCAGACCCTTGATATTAATATAAAGTGTCTCAAACATTTTTATTATTGCATCTTTCATACATTTTCCTTGCATGAACCAAACTAGGAAGGGTTAAGAGCACGTATTGTGCTTGTTCATGAATGTATACATTTGTTTGAGTACTTTTTTTAATTTTAAGATAATGTGAATTAGAATTTGTCCTGTAGTTGTTGACCTCTATTGGGTCTCCACTTTTGTGGCTTGGAATAACCCTTGCTAGCTTAGATATGTTTTGGTGTCTATAAATTTCTTGAACATTTCTGCAATGGTAGGTACAAGCAATTGAGCTACTTTCCTATACATGTATATGAATGGCAGTACAGTATATTGTCTATTTTTCCTGCTTTGTTTTAAGATATTCTGCTGTTGAAGTTGTATGACCCTAGTGGGTTTAGAGCTTAGTTATGATTATAATAATAATAATACCGTTGAAATTCCTTCCATAGAATTACTGTAGCTGGGGAAGTTATACAGAGCTTAGGTAATTATCTAACCTGTCCTCCTAATAACTGTCACATTTCCACATAGGGTTAACATAAGAACATAAGAAAGGAGGAACACTGCAGCAGGCCTGTTGGCCCATACTAAGCAGGTCCTTAACAATCCCTCCCACAAACAAAATATTTGCCCAACCCAATTTACAATGCTACCCAATAGGGTTTGCAGCCTATTTCTTAGTTAAAGAATAAAAAGTCACAACACCGTTACCGGAACAATACACAGATAACCTGCACATAGGAGAATGAAGCTTATGATGATGTTTTGGTTGGGCTGAAACATTATCATAAGTTTCATTCTCTTATGTGAGGTTTATTTGTGTTTTTCTTAGGTTGGGCTAGGTTAGATTAAGCTAGGTTACATTGTTAAGCTATGTTAAGTTACATTGTTAGGTTATGTTTGGTTACATTGTTAGGTTCAATTGTTAGGTTACACTGTTAAGTTACATTATTAGGTTATGTTAGGTTACACTGTTAGGTTACATTGCTAGGTTAGGTTAGGTTATGCAAGTTAGATTAGATTAGGTTTGGTTACAATGGAAAACTATAATAACAGGAATCCAATGCATACATGTCACATAACATGTCATATTTTAACTGTTCCAGGCTCCATCAACAACCACCCATTTGACTGTTGTAACAACAGTGTCATGTCTGTGGTTAAGAGACTGAGCTGAATTATCATTAATCTCTAACTTGGACATAGTAGCTAGAGATGTTTTTGGCTAGGTTTGATCTCTCGCTTCAAAAGCTCCTCAAGGGAAATTCTTTGATGCCAGTGAGAAGCTCTTGATCCAGGGAATTGGACCTGACATCTGCCTTGGATCGAACCTGAATGCCTCCCTTTCTCCCCAAGTGCTGTATGACCCCCTGTGGGTTAGGGTTCCCATGAATGCAGTAATAATATACATTAGTTACTTATTATTATGGGGGGCGTTAAACCCATTGGGATTATATAGCGCCTGTGGGGGTGGAAGGTAATCAGGCTCAATTTAAGGAACTGGAGCACAGATCCAATTCTCTAGATCAAGAGCCCCTCACCAGCGGTTACTAGTTCCTGTATGTGGACTGTTCACTCTTAGTGATTTGGGTGAGAGGCTCTTAATCCAAGGAGCTGGACCTGCCCTCCCCCTGGTTTGAACCTGAATGCATCCCATTTTCCCAGGTATGACCACTACTAGTTTAGCGCTCTCTCATGAATATAATAGCAGTAGCAGCCATTTGGTCTTAGCAACTGTATTTGCATCACCTAGTTTTTCTGTAAGTTTATTAAGGTACAGGTATACATAAATACAGTTACACAAATTATCATACATACATGTACATGTGTAAATTACTTTGGCAATCCTCCCCCCCAAAAAAAAAAAAGTCAGAGACAGTAACTTATTTCTACTGGGGTCCCTGTTATTATTACCTTTTAGTGTATTATGTGCTAAATATAAATAATGCATTTATATATAGATGCCTAACTAAGAAATAAACAAGGACCCCCATGAAGTAAGTTATATTGACTTTTTTTAATCTGTAAATCGATATATACTGTAGTGCGTCTAAATATATATATATATATATATATATATATAAAATATATATTATATATATATATATATATATATATATATATGTGTGTGTGTGTGTGTGTGTGTGTGTGTAAGTTAAAACATACGAAGATATTTCTTAACTAACCTGGAATGACTTTCCAATCTACGTTTAAGACAAGAGTGGTTCGGTTTGCATGTCTGTGTTCTTGTGTACTGCAGCTGCTTCAAGGCCTCGATGAGTACTAGATAAGCCTAAACAAGTCCTAGATTAGTGGTAGGGGAGTCCTGGGTGAGTCTTAGGAAAGTGCCAAGTGAGTACCAGCAACGTCACTATGATGACACTACTCAGGGCACCGCCACCTGACTCCACCTTTTTTTATATCTATTTCATCTTTTTCATCTCACCGCTTTATTGATTACTATGCAATAATTAACCAGCTGCTTACTATAACTCTCAAGCTTAAAGCTTAACCTCTGTTCATTTCCTAATATTTTTACACACACACACACACACACACACACACACACACACACACACACACACACACACACACACACACACACACACACACACACACACACACATACACATACACACTACATATATATATATATATATATATATATATATATATATATATATATATATATATATATATATATATATATATATATATATATATATATATATATATATATATATTATATTCAGCACGCCGGCCATCTCCCACCGAGGCAGCGAGAGCCAAAAAAGAAACATTTTTACCATCATTCTCACATAATCAACGTCTTTGCATAGGTGCCCAGATACGACAGTTTAGATGTCACTCCAAACAGCTAATATCCCCAACGTTTCCTTTGAAGTGCAGGCATTGTACTTTCCACCTCCAGGACTTAAGTCCGGTTAACCGGTTTCCCTGAATCCCTGCACAAAATATTGCCATGCTCACACTCCAACAGCTCGTCAGGTCCCAAAAACCATTCGTCTCCATTCACACGCTCACATATGCCTGCAGTATATACATGCCCCTTGCACACAAAACCTCTTCCAGCTCCCTCTATCCTGTCCTAGGAAGACCCCTACCCCTCCACTAGATTTATACACCCACAGTCAAAGTTTATTCTCTATAAAGATTACAATGTTGAATTTACAGAATTTGGTTGTTGTGTGGTTTACATGTAGTTAAATAATGATTACAGAGTGTACCACTAGAACGCCTAGCATGGCTAGGCATTTCGGGCAGACTTAGTTTAATTCTTAATTTTAAAATATTACAAATTATGAGGTAAGTTGGTATTATGGCTAAGTGACTAAATACTAGTTTGTGAGTTTAGCAATGTGAATGCTTTTGTTTTGGCACAGTACATAGTTTCAGTATTGGAGTATCATAGGATTCATTATTTTAAGATTGATAAATATTTCTGTTTATGGTCAAATGGTGGAGTGAGTGTAAGTGTGAACCACCAGGTGGTATTCGTTTTGTTAGTTGACAGGGTGTGTCAGGGAGATAAGATGTTTTCTAATGGTAGTTTTGAAGGTGATGAAGGGTGTCTGCAGTTCTAGAGTTCTCAGGTAGGGTGTTCCAGATTTTAGGGCCTTGACATACATTGAATTTTTGTAAAGGTTTAGTCTGACAGGGGGAATGTCGTAGAGATGTTTGTGTCTGGTGTTATGCCTGGGGGTTCTGTCACAACTATCAAGAAAGCGTTTTAGGTCAAGGTTGATTTTGGGGTTTTTAAGGCCCCTGTAGATGTAGATTGCACAGTGTAAGTGTGGATGTACTAAAACAGGAGTAATTTTAGATCTATGAAGTGGGGGGGGTGTTGCCAAGGATGGGATTTAATGATTATTCTTACTGCAGCTTTTTGTTGGGTTATTATTGGCTTTAGGTGTGTTGCTGCAGTTGATCCCCAAGCACAAATAGCATGGGTGAGGTATGGATAAATAAGTGAGTGGTATAGTGTGGGAAGGGCATTTTGCGGCACGTAGTATCGTATCTTGGAGAGGATCCCAACTTTTTTTGGATACTTTTTTGGTTATGTGTTGGATTTTGGGTGCTGAAATTCAGGTTGTTGTCAGGTATAGGCCTAGGAATTTGCCCTCATTAGTCTGGTAATAGAGTGTTGTCGATCTTAATTTTTAATTTTGTGCATCTCCTGCTCTGCTACCAAACATAATATAGTAGGTTTTGTCAGTGTTAAGCGTGTTTATTGGCTGTCATCCAAGTCGATATTTTGATCAGCTCCTCGTTAACAATGGTGTTGGGGGTGCAAGATTAGGGTGAGAGGATGACATAAGTCGTGTCGTCAGCAAAGAGAATGGGTTTCAGGTGTTGGGATACGTTTTGGAAGATCATTGATGTATATGAGGAAGAGCAGGGGACCAAGGACACTTCCCTGCGGAACTCCAGTATCAAGTGGCCGTGTTGTTGATGCTGTGTCTTTAATGGTGACATACTGATACCTATTAGTAAGGTAAGATTTGAAATAAGCAAGCGCATGGCCTCTTATACCGCAATGGTCAAGTTTGTGGAGTAGGATGTCGTGGTCTACTGTGTCAAAAGCTTTTCCTAGGTCAATAAAAATTCCTAGTAGCGTTCAGTGAAGAGGCGGGGCCAGGAGCTGAGTCTCGACCCCTGCAACCACAATTAGATGAGTACACACACTGTAGACAAGTGCCTTTAACAAGTAGTAACTAACACAACATAATCCTGTAACATTTTAAACCTAAGATTTAATGTAAGTCTGCCCGAAATGCCTAGCCATGCTAGGCGTTCTAGTGGTACACTCTGTAATTATTATTTTACTGCATGTAAACCACACAGTAACCAAATTCTGTAAACTCAGCATTGTAATACTTATAGAGAATAGTTTGAATTTGAATTTGAATTTGAATTATCATCATTTAATACCAGCTGTGAAGTAAGCATTCCTTTATATAATGAACGTAGTCATTATAATGAAAAAAAAACCATATATTGTTTTTAGTTATTTTTCTGATGTATACATTATTATTTTGTATATAAAGAAATTAAAGTTGTTAGTGTGCTATACACACGTTAGTGTATGATACATGTTAGTGTATGATACACGTTAGTGTATGATACACATTAGTGTATGATACACATCGTTAGTGTATGATACACATGCGTTAGTGTATGATACACACATTAGTGTATGATACACACGTTAGTGTATGATACACACACGTCAGTGTATGATACACACGTTAGTGTATGATGCACACGTTAGTGTATGATACACACGTCAGTGTATGATACACGTCAGTGTATATGATACACACACGTTAGTGTATGATACACACTTTAGTGTATGATACGCACGTTAGTGTATGATACACACGTTAGTATATGATACACACACTTTAGTGTATGATACGCACGTTAGTGTATGATACGCACGTTAGTGTATGATACACACACGTCAGTGTATGATACACACACGTCAGTGTGTATGATACACACGTTAGTATATGATACACACACTTTAGTGTATGATACGCACGTTAGTGTATGATACACACGTCAGTGTATGATACACACACGTCAGTGTTTATGATACACACGTTAGTATATGATACACATACTTTAGTGTATGATACGCACGTTAGTGTATGATACACGTCAGTGTATGATACACACACTTTAGTGTATATGATACACACACGTTAGTATATGATACACACACTTTAGTGTATGATACACACGTCAGTGTATATGATACACACGTTAGTGTATGATACACACTTTAGTGTATGATACGCACATTAGTGTATGATACACACAAGTTAGTGCATGATGCACACATGTTATAATACACACATGCTAGTGTACAACTTAAACTATGATAAATTTCTTTAGTATTAATTAAGTAGTCAGTAAGCCATTAAATTAAGTCTGCCCATAATGCCTAGGCCTGACAGAGGCTTTCTTTGCACTGCAACCCATTATTGTAAATACATAATCTCAATGTACTGCTTGCAAAGAAATAAAATTTGATTTGATTTGATTTGGTTTCATATGTTTTGAAGTTTTGACTCAGGGTTACCATAGTAACCGTCACCAAGCTCCTTTTCAAGTTAGTAAATTGATTAAGTTTATTGAGGTACACACAGTTAGACTTAAATTAAGGTGAGTTACAGTTAAACACACATAGTAACGTGTGTGTGTGATAGCCACCAGGATAAAGCAATACAGTACTGCTTCTCCAGCTTCAAGTTATAGGTCACTGTGAACCAGTGTTTGCCTTCCCACCGTGTGTCCTTCCAGTGTGATATGTGTTAGTGTCAGCTACAGTGCTAGTGTCAGCTATAGTGCTAGTGTCAGCTACGGTGCTAGTGTCAGCTACAGTGCTAGTGTCAGCTACAGTGCTAATGTCAGCTACAGTACTAGTGTCAGCTACAGTACTAGTGTCAGCTACAGTGCTAGTGTCAGCTACGGTGCTAGTGTCACCTACGGTGCTAGTGTCAGCTACGGTGCTAGTGTCAGCTACAGTGCTAGTGTCAGCTACAGTGCTAGTGTCAGCTATGGAGCTAGTGTCAGCCGCAGTGCTAGTGTCAGCTATGGTGCTAGTGTCAGCCACGGTGCTAGTGTT